CTGGGAGCGGGACTGGAACCAGGACCGGGACGGGGCAGTGCGGGATACCAGGCGGCTGCCCCGGCCTCACGCTCGGCTCTCGCCGCAGATGACCCTGAACACGCAGCGCGGGGCGCGCAGCCCGCTGCGCCGCAGGGCCAGCACGCCGCTGCCGCTGCCGCTGTCACAGCAGGCGCGGGCCGAGGCCGGGCACCCCCACGCAGCGCCGTGGCCGGCACGGGAGGCGGGCGGCCCCGCTGCGGGCTGCGCGGGCGCCTCGGAGCCCGTGTACCGCGTGGTGCTGCTGGGCGACCCCGGCGTGGGCAAGACCAGCCTGCTCAACCTCTTCGCTGGCGTCCAGGAGCCGCTGGAGCAGCGGGGAGGTGGGTGCCCCGCGCGCCCCTCGCGTGGCCGCTCCGCGCCCTGCGGCGCTGTCAGCACGAGGTCGGGGGCTCCAGCCGCTCCGTGACCGACTCTCCCATCCCGCTGCCCGCAGAGGCCGCGTACGAGCGCACGCTGTGCGTGGACGGCGAGGAGACCAGGCTGCTGGTGATGGACACGCGGGAGCCGGAGAAGCGGGTAGGGCAGYGCCGGGGGCTGCTGGGGGGTCCTGGCGGCCCCATGAGTGCCGCAAACCGCCATGCGGACCCCAGCTCCGTGCCTGGGGTGTCCCGGCTCGGTGCTGCGGTGGGTCTGGGCGAGCGCTGAGCCTGCGGCAGGAGCCGCGCTGCCAGGACGGGGCCGCGCTGCCAGGACGGGGCCTCGCTGACAGCCCTGCGAAATGCAGCGGTTCGGGGATGGGAAATGTCTCTCTGTCGGGAGACGGTGCGGAGTCCAGGACGATGCTTTAAAAGGCAGGGACGCGAGTGCCGCGGCTCCTGCCCCCTGCGGCAGCCGGGCACCGAGGCGCTCCCGGGCCACACGAGCCCCGGGGCGGCTCCTCCCGCCTCGTCCTTCCCGCCGCTCCCGCCCCCGGCACCGCGCGCTCCCCGCTCCTCTCCGGGGAGGCTCCGGTGCTGCTGACACAGCCCCRCGCTGCGACGCCCGCGGGTGCTCGATTGCACCGTCCCCAGCGGGGGCTGCCCCATGGCTGGCCCTGCACTCTGCCCCACGGGCGATGGGGGGGTCGGTGGGCTGCAGCGCGGAGCCACCTCGACCCCTAAAGCAGAACCTGGAGCATAACCCATAGCCCACGGAGCGGGAGGGATGTGGCGCCTGTCGCCCCCGCAGCACGAGCAGGGTTTCCTCGACCGTGCAGCATGAGCGCTGCCTGCAGCGGGCTGGGCGCTCGCCCCGGCCCTGCTCCCGGTCCGGAGCCGGTGCCCGCCCGGGGCATCCCGGGGAGCATCCGCGACGTAGCCCCGGGCTGGGGCTCGGGCCCACGGTGACGGCCATCCTGGTGGCGGGCGCAGGGCGAGGGCAGCCGGTGCCTGCAGGTGGGCGACGCCTACGTCCTCGTCTACTCCGTCACCGACCGCGGCACCTTCGAGAGCGCCTCGGAGCTGCGCATCCAGCTGCGGCGCGCGCGGCAGGCCGACGACGTGCCCATCATCCTGGTGGGCAACAAGAGCGACCTGGTGCGCTGCCGCGAGGTGTCCGAGGAAGGTGAGCGGCCGCGGCGCGGGGGCCGCGGGGCCGGCGCGCCGTGCCCTGCCCGTGCSCTCGCCTTGCAGAGGGCCAGGCGTGCGCCGTGGTCTTCGACTGCAAGTTCATCGAGACGTCGGCRCCGCTGCAGCACAACGTGGCCGAGCTCTTCGAGGGGGTGGTGCGGCAGATCCGGCTGCGGCGCGGCGGGCGCGGCGCGGGCGCGCACTCCGCGCACCGGCGCAAGGAGAGCCTCACGGCGCGCGCCCGCCGCTTCCTCGACCGCCTGGTGCCCGGGAACAGCAGGAAAGTGGCGCTCAAGGTGCGCTCCAAGTCCTGCCACGACCTCTCCGTGCCCTGAGAGCGGCGCCGGTGGCAGCTCCCCGTGCCAGGCATGGGGACATGGGGACTGTCTCCTCCGTGGGGGCACCGCGGTGGCTCCGTGGGCCCTTCCAGCTGGCTTGGGAGCGCTGTGAGCGGAACCACAGCCGCTCCGCTTTGGAGCAATGAGGAGTCCCCGGGGCTGCAGGATGGTGCCGGGCAGGGCCGTGCCAGGGGATCCGGGTGCCCCGGGAAGGGGCAGGGAGCGAGCGGCACGGGCGGCCCCCGTGGGTGCGGACGTGCCGGGCGGCAGCGGCAGCCCTGGGCCCGGCGCCAGCCCGGATCCGGTCCCCCCCGCGCAGCTCCCAGGTCGGGTCGCGAGTTTCCACTGGCTTTGCYGGAGCGGGGGCAGTGGCGGAGCCGCCCCGGGGAGCATCGCGCCCCGGCCGCCCGGCGCCGCCGCTCCCGACCCCACCAGGGCCTCCCTTTTGGATAGTCCGGAGCCGCTGCCGCGTCGCTGCTCCCCATCCTGCTGCGGGGGCAGGTCCCGGCACCCCTTGCTTGGTGCCGCTGGATGGACATGGAGCTGGCGGGCCCCCGGAGCGCAGCCGCGGTGCGCGGAGCATCCCTGCAAACCCTCCGCTCCTGCCCCGCTGCCTCCTCCTGCCAGGCGGGAGCTGGGGGGGCGGATGGAAAGTTGGCAACGGGCGGCGAGGGGAGTGGAAAGAATGAGCTCGAACACGGAAAAATGCAGTGGTGCCGGGAGGCCGAGGGGCCAGCGAGGCGCTGGGAGAGGAGGGGAGGAAGGACGGAGGCGCTGCCGGGCCGGTGCGGAGCTGCGCCCGTCCTGCCGGGGCTCTGCGGATCTGGGACATCCTGCCAGGGCTCTGGGGATGCCCAAAGCCATCAGATCCAGCACCATCCATCCCAGCACCATCGGATCCAGCGGCATCTGACCCAGCACCATTGGATCCAGCAGCGTCCATCCCAGTGCATCCCGATGCACCTCACTAGTGTCGTGTGTCCCAGGCGTCTCCCCAGGCTGTGCATCCCTGGGCCCTGCATCCCGGCACACAGCCTCCCGCTCGCCCTGCAGGGATGCTCCGGGGCCACGGGCTGAGGCTGGAGGCCGATCCGGCTCCTCGGGCCCCGGGGGCTCCCCTCCGGCTCCGGGCCGGCCCCGTCCCYCTGCATTGCGGGAACAGCGGGGGCGGCAGGGCAGCACCGGGGCAGCTCCCCAGGGGCCTCCGCGTCTCCGCTCTGAAACTCGCTCAGAGCAATGAATCACCCCGGGTCCTCGGATAGAGCCTTTTTTTTTTTTTTTTTTTTTTCCTTTTTTCCCTTTTTTTTTTTTTCCTTCTTAAATGTGGAAAAAAAGGATAAATATTAAAAAACAGCAGCTTTTTTTCCTGTCTGCTGTGCTCTCAGCCAGGGTGCAGCTCTGACCTCCCCGGGCTGGAAGCTGAATCCAGGGGTGATGCTGGCGTATGGGGATGGATCCTGGGGATCCATCACTATGGTGGATCCCAAAGGAGCAGATCTCAGGGATCCAGAGGGCAGATCCTGTGGATCCATCATCATGATGTGTACAAAAGGACCTGATCCTAAGGATCCAGGAGGCAGATCCCGGGAATCCAGCACCATGGCGAATCCCGAGGGAGGCAGATCCCAGGGATCTGAGGGGCATATCCTGAGGATCCCTCACTATGGAGTATCCCGGGAATCCAGGAGGCATAATCCAGGGATCCAGGGGCAGATCCCGGGGATCCATCACCATGGCGGGTCCCAAGGATCTAGACGGCAGCTCCCGCTATCCCGCCACAGGATCCAGCATCATGGAGGATCCCGACAGTTGCGCGGGGGTGGCGGAGGGTGGCGGGGGCGGGGCGCGCAGGCCGCGGTCTCCTAGCAACGCGGTGGGGCGCGTTGCTAGGCGGCGCGTTGCTAGGCGGCGCGTTGCTAGGCGGCGCGTTGCTAGGCGGCGCGCGCCGCCAGTGGGCGTGGCGCGGCGCCCGCCGCGTGACGCACGTCCGGCCGGTAAGGGAACGTGTCCCTGCGCGCGGGCGGCGGGCGGAAGCGCGGGGCAGCCATGGCGGAGGCCGCGGCGCACAACGGCAGCGCCGCCGCCCGCGCGCCCGCCACGGCCGAGGGCATGGCGCTCGCCTACGGCAGCCTCGTGCTCATGGCSCTGCTGCCCATCTTCTTCGGCGCGCTGCGCTCCGTCAGCTGCGCCAAGAGCAAGGTAACGGCGGCGCCGGGCCGCGGCCCCGCGGATGCGCCTTGTCAGCCTCCGGTACCGGAGCTTCCCCCGCCCCGGAGGGGCCCCCCGTTGCGGGCSCCGTTCTGGGGCGGTAGGGTCGAAACCCGCCGGCGTGGCCGCCCGTTCCCCGCCGCGGTACCGGGGCGCCTGCGGCCTCCCCGCACCGGGGTCCCCCCCGGGGCTCCTGCCCGCACCCGCGGCCSCTAACGGATCCCGTGTCCGCGGCCCAGCGTCAGCGGGTTTTGGGAGCCGAGGGAGGGATGGGGATGCACCGGGAGGGGAGAACAGGATGCGCGGGGAGGGAAGAGCGGGATGCRCCGGAGGCCGGCGGGACAGCCCCCCGGGACAGGGGACATGGCCTGCACCGGGAGCGGGACTTTCCCCTTCTCCATGAGGGAAAAGCGCAGTAAACCGCGGCCGCGCCGGGGTGCCGGACGTGGGCGCTCGGCCGGGGCCGCCCCGCGCTCTGTCGGTGCCCGCCGCCACCCCGGGCGCTGCCCGCGGAGCCGCGCGGCGCCGCTGCCACCCGCGCGGCCCTCCCTGCCCGCAGAACTCCTCTGAGATGCCGGAGACCATCACGAGCCGCGACGCCGCCCGCTTCCCCATCGTCGCCAGCTGCACCCTCCTGGGCCTCTACCTCTTCTTTAAGGTCAGTGAGCGCGGAAGGGGACACGGYGGCTCCATCCCTCCCTGCGGCTCAGCCCGCTGCGTTTGCGCTCCGGGACCCCGGCACGGGGCCGCCTCCGTTCTGGCGGGGCCGGTAGCGCCGGGACAGAGCGCCTTTTGGGACGGCGCAGCTTGGATTCCCGGTGTTACCGGCGGAGGAGGCCAGGGCTCACCTGAATGCTGTGATCCGGGGCTCGCTCGCACGCGTGCTTCCCTGGAGGCTGCCGTAGAGAAACGGGTTCATCCCGAGCTCTCTTTGGCTGCCCAACGGGGCCCGAGATGAAGCCGGAGGGAGCCGGAGGCTCTGGAACTGCAGAAGCTTCCGCCCTTGTTGCACTGCTTGGCATCTCCGCTGTARGCCTGGCTTATTGCCGAGCGGGAAGCAGCTTATGGACAAAGTGGAATGGGTTTGGGTGACGTGTTGGGGTTAAAGGACAGTCTGGGTCTCAGATGAGGGTCCGAGCAGCAGTGTTTCAGGCTGGGTATCTGCGTTCAGAAACGTCTCCCAGCTAAAAGCCGCTCTGGGACCCCCTGCACCGGGAGCACACGGGGGGCCTGGAGAAGCTGCGGGAGGGCCAGCGCAGTGCGGGCCGGGCGGGCAGGATCCCAAGATCCCGCGTGTGTTGGATAGGAGGCCACGGCACCCCCAGCCCCCCGTTGTGGGCTGCCCGCGAGGTGCCCCTGCCCGCCGAGGGCCAGCGGTGCTGGGATCCCCGGGATCCCCGGGATCGGCAGCGCGCGGGATGCGGCCGAGCGGCTCCCTCGGCGGGCAGAGCTGTCCCCGCCGCAGGGGCTCAGGCCTGCCCTGCAGGCCCCCRCTCCGTGTTCCCGGGTGCCGGGGTCTGGAGCTGCACTGGGCGCAGCGGGAGCCASGTGGGATGGGTGGCACGTGCGGGTGACGCTCTGGGCTTGCCCGAGCCCCAGCGCCACGGTGCTCCTGTGCGGCTCCCCTTCCCGAGGCCGGGAAGTGGAGCGAGGGGCTGGCGCTGGGAGAACAGAGCAGCARCCGGGCCCTGCAGCGCCCGGGACGGTCCCTGGAGCCCGGCCCCCTTCTTGGGAACGTTTCCTGCCTCTTGCTCCTGCCTGAGGCCGAGACTCCGGCAAAAGCAGCAYGGAGCGCACAGTGTGACCCACTTAGAGCTGCTGCGACATCAGGGACCTCTTCCCTTTTGGTATCCGCGCGGTGCCACGGGCAGCAGCATCCCAGCAAAGCTGCCGGGAGGCTGGCAGAGCCCGACGGCTACGCCCACCGTGGGATCCTGTGGGATCACCGGAGCCTGGGGCTGGRGATGCACCCAGGAGGGCAGCAGTGCTAATAATACCCCAGCTAAGCAGGGCAGGCAGGCGCCGCCGGCCCCTCTCCAGGGACGTCCCGCCGGAGCCGCGCGCTGCGCGAGGGGCACTGGGGAGCCCGTGTCCTCCTTTCTGCAGCGCCACAGCTATTTTTTGACCTGAGCTGCTCATGGACGATCAGCATCTYGCAGGGCCCTTGTGCTTGTTCTGCAAGTGCCTTGCTATTTCCTGCACGTTTCACAGCAGCGGTGTCAGAACAGTGCAAGAATTTGGGTTCCTCCTCCCAAAATGGTGATGCAGCGACTGCTGATTGCATCATAAAACAGTTCCTTGTTACTAGACACGGGGCAGGGGTGCATTCTGGTAGCTCCCCCCTCACAGCCMTTCTTGCCTTGCAGATATTCTCCCAAGAGTACATCAACCTCCTGCTCTCCATGTACTTCTTTGTGCTGGGAATCCTGGCCCTGTCGCACACCATCAGGTAGGGGGGAGGCTGCGCAGGGGCTCCCCGGCTGCTCTGCCACGGGTGGAGCTTGCGGTGGAGCCACCAGGGCCCCGTGGGCATGGGGAGAGCTCCGCAGCAGCCTCGTTCCYCGTGTAGGGGTGGCTGGAAGGGGCACCTGGGCTAACGGTGGGTCCTYGGTGTGTCCCACGCCAGGGCTCCGTGTGACGTGTTGGAAGCTCAGGCCGTGTTTCACTAACTGAAAGAATAAAGCTGGCTTTGTGGTTCTGAGCTCCTGGGACCGGCTACTTCCCCTGGAGCAGAGGGGCTGCTCTGCTCGGCCTTTGCAGCTCTGCTCTGAGCTGTAGGGAGCCACTCTGTGCTGACCTGCCCTGGGTGGCCGGGACGTGGCAGGGAGGTCTGGGAGAAGCTCTCCCTTCTCGTTGGTGATGTCCCGTGCTGGCATGTGCCTCTTGTCCGAGGTTGTTTTGGGGACAGTTACCTGCAGGCTGGTCAGCGCCCCSGGAGGACAAGTTCCCTTGTGCTGTTCCTCTATGGTGGCCAGGGCTGGGCCTCGTGCCTGCCCCAATGTGGTGAAATTTGGCGATCCCCCCTCTTCAAGAGGGGCGAGGGTGGCAGCCTGGGGGCAGTCCTGCCTGTCACATAGGGCGCTGGGCAGTGCCTCGTGCTGGGGCTTCCAGAGAACTGCCCTTCTCTGCACCTCTTCTTTCAGCCCCATGATGAACAGATTCTTTCCTGCAAATTTCCCCAACAAACAGTACCAGCTTCTCTTCACCCAGGGCTCCGGGGAGACCAAGGAAGGTACGTGAGCTCACCGGCCTCTCTAGGGGCCTCCGGTTTCTGCCTTTTCTCTTGCTTGCTGTTTTGACCTTCAGCTCTTTGAAACAGTCTCCTCAAAGTCCCTGTTGGGCTTCTGCAGCCTTGTTTGCCCATGCAGAGCTGGGAMTGCTCTGTGCCCCCAGCACAGGAACCCCAGAAACTAAGTGCCCTGAAAATGAGCCTCACGAACAATGTCAAATGTGCTCATTTAATGTAATGGTGTGTTTTGTTTTGTTTTCTCTTCCTGTCTTAACTAATTTAATTTGAATCCCTGCAYTGGGGAAGGTTCTTTGGTATGGATCTGCCCCAGTAGCTGGAAGGGGCTATTTCTCCTAGTAGTACAAGTAGGAGATAACAGGATAGAGAAAGGAGAACTGTCCCCTCCCCACCGTAAGACGGTGTCTGTGTCCAGCTTCCTTAGTGACGGGAGAATCACAGGTGTTGTCCTTGCGGCAGAGCCTGGCCAAGGGCACAGCCCTTGGCTCACCAGCATGAGCCGCTTGCTCACACGCTGAATCTGCGTGTGGTTATTGCAGACATGATCGTTGGCGTGGGTGGAATCCCCTCGCCAGGGCCATGAAYGTGGAGGCTCTGCTTGTCCTCTGCTGGTACACGCACTGGTTGCTGCCCTGCGTGGGAAGGAGGGCTGCCCAGGCCAGCCCAATTCACCCTTCTGTGTCTTAYTGCAGAAATAGTGAATTACGAGTTCGACACCAAGGATCTCGTGTGCCTGGCCATGAGCAGCGTTGTCGGGGTCTGGTACCTGCTGAGAAAGGTAAGAGCAGCAGCGCTGCAGGGAGGCCGGGCCTGGGCTGGCGTGGGGAGACCCTCCTCGTGGGGAGGCCACCGTGGGGTGGTGTGATCCAGCTCTCCTCTTCCTCAGCACTGGATTGCCAACAACCTCTTTGGCCTGGCCTTTTCCCTCAACGGGGTGGAGCTGCTGCACTTGAACAACGTCAGCACTGGCTGCATCCTGCTCGGGGGCCTCTTCATCTACGACGTCTTCTGGGTAGGTGGGGGTGTCCCTTGGGAGGGGTGTCCCTTTGGGGGGACGGGGGCTGCTGCCGCTCAGGGAGGCACGTGCAGGTGTCGCTCCTGCTTGGAGGTCACACGCTGCCTGTGCCCATGTTGGCACCCAGGATTTCCCCTTTCTCAGCCCCAAGGGGCGTGGTGGGTGCAATGAGTGAACTGAACGCTGGCAAAACTCAGCGAATGTGTATTTTAATTTCTGGCCTAACTAGAAAGTCCAGGGCTGGCAAAGATCTCCCCGGGTAGTCCTACCATTGTAGACTGTGAGGGTGTTGCACATAACAGCTTTGACCGTGGCCTGTGTAAGGTCTGCTCGGTGCCCGGCTCTGCCAGCCGATCATTAAGGCCGTTTGGGTGCAGCTGTGGAACAGGTAAGTTCATAGGTGCTCGTGGGTGAACGTCGAGTCTTMGCTTCAGTGGCAGAGCTGCCAGCTCCCAGTGCAGCTTCTCGCTAAGCGACCCTGGGCCTGCGGTTTGCCCTTCCTTCCGTGTGCCCACCGGAGTGCCCTGGGGTCTGGTGCTCCTCGCCCAGGCTGTGCCTCCGCTCTGCCATCTGCCAGCCTTGCCAGCGCCCTCCTGCTCCCTTGCRCAAACACCGGATCCTGGAATTCCTCCAGCCCTTCCCTTCAGGGCTCTGCACAGCGCTCTACCGTCTTCGTTTTAAGCTTTTCCGTATCTTTCTGCAGTGGCACTGGATCTCTCTTCCTCCTCAGTCCTGTGTAATACCTGGATTCCTYGGTCTTTCCTGTTTCCTTCCACCTTCTGGATTTTTCTGGATACTTTTAAGGCCTTGCCTACCCTGTCCAGCAACTGTGCGGCTGCCTGAGCAATTCTTGTCCCTTTGAGCCAGGCCTCTGTGTGGTGCTTAGCCCCCGCTGGAGCCGCCCAGGGTTTCCTAGGCTCATTAGGAGTCCCAGCGATTGGATTCATGTGTCTGGGTGTCAGTCCAGCGCTCGCAGCTCAGGGTGATGGAGCCTCCTGGCCGAGCGCCGCGCGCTTGGCCAGGGTGCCCGGTGCCAGGGAGGCGCCAGGGACCATGCAGGCTCCGGACCTCTCGTTAAGGAGAGGTTTTCAGGGCGTTCTGGGGGCAGCGGCAGCGCAGCCCCTGCCGCCGGCCTGCAGCCTGGCCGGACCTCTCCAACAGGGCTCCGTGTTGGGGCACCGGCCTCTGAAGCTTTGCCCAGAGACACTCCCCATGCACGGATAGTCCCTCTCGCAGCTCCCCTGCGCAGGGAGCGAGCGCTTGGACCTTAGCAGGGATTTGCTCACACTGAGATCCCAGGAGGATTTCGGGAAAGGAGCAGAGATGCTCAGTGAACCAATGGCACTGAGTCCTGCATAGTCTTGGGGTGGATGTTTTATGGTGCCTTGTGGTGTTTCCCTGGTTCTGGTTTAGAGTCCTGTTGCTCTGCAGCAGTTGCTGCGTCCTCTGCGCTTAGATGACTGGCAAGGCCAGAATTTACTGCGCCTTGTTGTTGTTCTGATGTCCGTTTGCCTGCTTTAAATCATCTTTTGGTCTCCAGCTCTCGGATCTTGCTCGGAAGCAGCGCTTGGTTCCTATGCTCATTGCTGACATAGTCAACCCTGGAGGTTTGTAGATGAAAGGGAATAGAAATCAGGGTGACTGGCCTAGATGTTTACACTCCATCCCACAAAAGATGCCAATATTTAAAGCTGATAGTGCAGTACAAATAAGTGACGTTGGAGCAAAACGCAATTGATCCAACAGTTGCTCTGGTCCCTGTTGGAAGCTTGCAGGCAGCAGCAGCCTGGTGTTGCCTGGGGTGAACAAGTGGGACCTGAGCTTTGCCCTGAACCAGCTGATCAGAGCTGGACAAACCCCCTCAGGGCTGCCATGCCCTGTATGGGACCCGAGTCCTCCGTGCTGGGGCAGGACGGGGTAGTGGTCAGCACGGCTTGTGTGAAACGAGCTGTATCCCAGGTGCTGCTCCGAAAACAGGGCAGCTTTGGTGTAYTCACCTCCTTGAGTACTGTCTTGTCCCCTGTTCCCTGGGAGATGGGCTCCAAGCCTTGGAATTTGGCTGGTGGGCAGCATCTTGCCCAGAGTTTGGTGGCTCTTTGGCTGCTTCCTGGCCATGTGGCTGCTGTCGAGGCCCAGGTGAGGCTGCAGCTGAGTGTGTGTGTGTGTCCTTGTGCAACTGGGGTCACCTTGGGCTCCTCTGCTTGCCCCTAGGTCTTTGGCACCAACGTGATGGTGACTGTTGCCAAATCATTCGAGGCCCCAATAAAACGTGAGTAGATCTTCCCTGTGCCTGTGCTCTTGAGAATGCAGCAGTTTGAGAGCTGGGAGCCTGGGGCAGGGCCTGGATCCCTCGTTTCCCCGTTGCAGTGTCCAGGGCTGGCCCAGGAAGGACGGTGAGGGGAGCTGTAGATGAAACGGTGGCCCTGGGTGCCGGGAGGGCCCTGGCCCTGCTCACACCCCGTGTCACCAGCCCCGAGGTCCGCTCTGCACAGGGATCCTTCCCCCTCAACGTGCCTCTCTCTGCTCTTCCTAGTGGTTTTTCCTCAGGACCTGCTGGAGAAGGGTCTAGAGGCCGACAACTTTGCCATGCTCGGCCTGGGAGACATTGTCATTCCAGGTACGGATGGAAGAGGGGATCCTGTGCAGGGGGCACCAGCCTGCAGTGCCTGTGGGGAGTTGCACGGGCGGCTTTGAGCGACCTCATTGCCTTGTGCTGCCTCCGACCCTCACGGAGCCTTGAGCTGCTGGTTCTTGGCCCCAGTGCTGCCACCGTGCGGGGTGGCTGCCGGGCTGGCTGCTCTCGGTGCCACGAGAGGGCACTGTGAGCCCGGGCACGGCTGTGGCTGCAGCGCRGGCAGCCCCGGGTACTGCCCTGCTCTGTCTCCTCTCCATCTCTCCSGGTGCCATCTCCTCATCCTGCTCTGCCCACTGTCTCCATCGCTCCCGATGCAGTCTCCTCACCCTGCTCTCCCTGCTGTGTCCATCCTCTCCAAGTGCCATCTCCTCGCCTCACTCCCGCTCTACCCACTGTCTCCATCTCTCCCAATGCCGTCCCTTAACCCTGCTCCCACTCTCTCCATCTCTCACTGTGCCCTTCTCCCCCCAGGGATCTTCATTGCCTTGCTGTTGCGCTTTGACATCAGGTGAGTAGGTGACAAGGWAGCATCTCTGTTGTTGGTTGGATACTGCAGCACATTTGAGCTGTCTTGTGCTGGAGAAAAGGAGCTGGAGCAGTTGGGTGCTGTTCCTTGGGGCTCGGTGTGGGGCTGCTGCAGTGCGGAGCCCGGGGAAGAGCAGGGATGCGAGGGAAGGAGCCGGGCATGGCAGTGCTGCTGCTGTGGGGGCGAACTGGCCGCCCGCGCTGGGAAAGGCGGCTCCTTCCCACGCGGAGAGGCCCTGCCGGCGCCGGGGAGCCGCGCTCTGCAGTTGCCCCACACCGAAAGTCTGCGGCTGGGCCCTGGGCCGCGGCGGCGCGGCCACGCTCCCGCGCTTGCACAGACCCTCTGCTCCGTGCCAGCTCTGCCAGGTGTTTCCACCCACAGCTCGGCTGCACCTGCTGGGATTCCCAGCTCCCTTAGCCCGGCCTGCAATAATGCAGCACGTGCTGAGAAGGGTGCCAGGGAAAGGCAGCAGCTCCCTGCAATGGGGCAACCCTCTCGCCAGGGCTCTGCTCCCCCCAGCCATGTAACCGTCCAGCAGCACAACCGGGGCCCCCCTTGGCCTCCTGCTGCCCCCCGCCTGCTCCTCAGCACTGCTGCCATGGGGCTGGGGGCCCCGCTGGCCTGGGGAGCCCCACGTGGCTGGGCTGGCGCCGTCCCCACATGGGGGTTTCGGCTGCTGTCGTTGTGAGCCCCGGTCTGCTGGTAATTCGGGTCCCCTTTCTGTGTAGCCTAAAGAAGAACACGCACACGTATTTCTACACCAGCTTTGTGGCCTATATCTTCGGGCTTGGCCTGACCATTTTCATCATGCACATCTTCAAGCATGCCCAGGTAAGCTCAGCCGCGCTGGCGGGTGCACCCGCCGGCCCTCCCCGACCGGAGGAGAAGCCAGCTTGGCCACGGGGCCATAGTGCTAGGGAAGAGCAGTGCTCTTCTCTTGCCTTTGCTTCTCCAGAGCACAGAGCTGGCCCCTGCCCAAAGCTCTGCTCCGTGTGTGCCTGGGGGGAGTCCYATTTAGGGAGACGGGTTCAGGCAGCTGCATTCCCAGGAGTTCTCTGYCGGAGCTGCCCTGGAGGAGCCATCCTTGGTGCGGGAAGGGGGCATACCTGTGCCCTGGGGCTRTTGCTGCTCACTGTAGGAGCCCTTGGTGCGTTTATGGCCTGCTCTGGAGTGCTGGGCAGGGACAAGTGCAGCCCACAGGCTCTGTGCTCTGGCAACTCCCAGCCAGCGAGGTCGAGCAGGGCGCTGCCGTGGTGGGTGGGCACCACAGGCCTCGCTGCTTCCCTGGCTGCCACCCATGCCCTCCATAGCCCAATGCTCGCGTCTTCCCCGAGCGTTTCCTGGCTCTTCCAAGCGCCTGGTGAATTGGTGGCACCTTCTGCACCCAAAACCAGCAGCCCCGGCTGTGTCCGCCCGCCCTGGGCAGTGCGAGGGCCGGGGCGCTGGCACCTCACGGTGCGGGTGCCTTCCCATAGGTCCGGGGGACGGGCCTGGTGCCCTTGGGGGGTGCCCCATGGTTTGATTCGCCGGCTCTCACTCTTCCCCACAGCCRGCTCTGCTCTACCTAGTCCCCGCATGCATCGGATTCCCGCTGCTTGTGGCCTTGGCAAAGGGAGAAGTAACCGAAATGTTCAGGTGAGCGTCAGCTGCGCGCGGGGCTGTTCCGCCCGCGGCGCCGCGGTGCACGGAGCGTGCAGATGTTCCCACGGCCGGGCACAGCTGGAGGGCCGGGCCCATCCGGGCCTGCTCGGCGTGCGCGTAGGCGCAGGGAGTGGGTCTGTTTGTACACGCTGGCCCTGGCTCTCGCCACTCCTCGTCATTGTGTGGGAGCTTTGGTGCGCTACCAACAGGCAGCAGCATCTGGGCTTGCTTTACGCCCCGGTGACAAACTCTTCCCATGAGCTGGCAGCCAGGGCAGGGTGGGACCGCGCACCTGGTGCCGAGATACTTGGTCATTGTGTCCCGGGGCCCGCGGGTGGGGGCGAATGGAATTGGATGCAGCTGCGAGAGCAACTGGGGCTGGTTTGAGCACATCCCAGCCTCCCCGCTCGGGGAGGAGCAGCCTGGTTTGGAGCGACGTTCCCCGCTGGCACGGCGGGGTCCAGCTGTGCCCAGCCGGGCCTGGGCGCCATCCCTCAGCTGTGTGCGGCCGCTGGGGCCCCGGGCAGCCTTCTGAGGCTGGCTGAGGGGGAAGGAGGGGACATCTGTCCCCAAACAGGGCAGTGCTTCCCGCAGCACCGCTCAGCCGGGCGGGTAGCGGGAGATGCGCGCCCGGCTGCTGGGTGCCCATGGCCACAGTCCCCAGGCCGGTCCGAGGGGCAGCGGGAGCCGTGAGAGCCTGCACTCCCATTGCCCTGCTCCCAGGATCCAGGCTGCCCTTGCTTCCCTCCCTCCCTCCCCGGGMCGCGCGTTCCCAGCGGAGCCGCCGGCTGCGGCTGCTCCCGGCCCTCGGCACCTGCCCCCCTTGGATGCTGGCGGCTGCCGAGCGCCGCTGCAGGCACCGGGTGTCCCCGGCTCGTCCTTCCCGTGAACCTGGCAGCCCGGAGCCACTGGCCACGTGTGCCCGCAAGGCAGCAGCGCCTCCTGCCAGGGCCGGAGCGCCTGGAGCGCACGGAGGCTCCGGGCGGGATGCAGGGATGGAGCCTCAGCTAAGCCCAGCRGGAGAGCCCACCTGGTCCCTCTTAGCTGAGCCTGGCACAGCAAACACAGGGGCTGGTGCGAGCTCCTGGGGGCCTCACAGGGTCCCCAGCATCCAGGTCCCCCCGCTTGGAGCTGYTCCAGTCTCCGGTGGAGGAAACGGGCTGCGATGGGCCTGGTGCCCGGAGGCCGAGGGCCTCCCACCGCAGGAATGCGCCAGGTGCCGCTTTGATGCGCCCCGCTCCTCCGAGCGCCGCCCGAGCCGGCAGCTCCCGGCGCTCCGCACGGCGGGAAGGCAGCAGCTGGCACCGGGCTCGCCCGCAGCCTCCCCGGGCATGAGGGCCCTTGGGGCTCCCTCTGCTCCCAGCCTGGAGCTGCCACCAGGGGGAAACTGCTCTGCCCCCGGCACCTCCCTGGGGCGGCAGGACGGGACCGGCCCTGCGCCGGCRGCACCAGTGCCCCCGCGTGTGTCCTGCGGCCGCCTCCGTGCAGCCCTGTCCCCTGCTCCGGGGCCTGCGCGAGGAGGGCTCGTCCCGCGAGGCGACGGGAAGAGAGGCTGCCTGGCCGTGCAGGGCCCTGGGACTCCACTTCACACTGGGACTTCACACTCTGCTCCTCTTTCTTTCCCTCTTTCTCTCTTTCCCTCCGTGCCGTTGTCCCCTCCTGCCTCCTGTCTCTCCTGCAGCTATGAGTCCTCTGCTGAAATCTTGCCGCACACTCCGCGACTCACGCACTTCCCCACGGTGTCCGGCTCGCCCGCCAGCCTYGCTGACTCCATGCAGCAGAAGCTGTCGTGTCCCCGCCGCCGCCGCCAGCAAAGCCCCAGTGCCCTGTAGCCCCCGGCCCTTTCTGCCTGTCGCTCTGGCCAGGTAGGGGCTCCTTCCAGCTCTCCCCTGCTCCAGGCAGGGGCAGGAGGTGCCGCCTTGTTGTCCTGAGCTGGCAAAGAGGGGCAGTAGGTGACAGCTCTGTCCTCAGTGTCCTGCCTGGCCGGGCTGCCCGCATTCCTGTGTTTCCTCTATATCTTTTCCTGGCTGTCACTGGGCTCTGTGGTTCCCCTTGCTCTCGGCATCGCTCCGGATACCGGTCCACAGCACCGGGAAGCAGCCCCTCATCCAGGATATCCGGCTTGTATGGGTACCAAAGAGCAGGAGCAGTCGGGAGGATTCCCTGCTCCCGGGGCCTTGGCAGGGGCTGCTGTGACAGGGCCACGGGGCCCAGCCCTGGCACTGGGCACCCAGGGGATGTCACTGGCCRTGCTGGGGCAACGGACACTGTCCCCTGGGGGTGCCAGTGCTGCAGAACCCCACAAAGAGCCCTGATTGCTCCGAGTTCAGCTGGACCCTCTGCAAAGCCGGGCCCAGGAAAGACCAGTCCCACTAACCCCGCACCCCCCTGTGCCTCTGTCCCCAGCTACGAGGAGACCTCCCCGCCCAAGGAGGTGCCGGGGGCCCCCAAAGAAGAGACGGCAGCAGGCGCCAAGAAGGAGAAGTGACCTTGCGGGGCGCCCGCCGCCGCCTCGTGCTCGAGCCTCGTCATGTGTGTATGTGCGGGGTGCCCCCGCCGCGCTCCCCTTTATTTTATTGTCTCCTCCCTGGGTACCGAGCGGGTGGGGGGCAACGCGCAGGCCCCTTTTTAAATTTTGTATTGTGCATCTGCTTTCTCTCATATTAAACCATCTCAGCGGAAGGGGCTGCTCGGGCTGGGCCCCGCGGGCAGGAGGGCTCCTGGCGACTCCGGCTCCGTCTGTGCAGCCGGTTCCCCATGGGACCGGGGCGGCCTCGTGGTGCCAGGGAGCTGCTGTTCCCCCCGGGCTGGTTCCCCTCGTTCCCGGGGCTCGGCCTCATTCCCGGCCCTTGGGGCTCCCTGGTCTCTGTGCTGTCCCGGTCCTGTGCGCACCGCTGCGGTGACGGTGCAGGGCTCGGCGCGCGGCCCCGCGCGGGGCGGGTGATGGGGAGCAGCCGCCCCGACGTGGCCTGGGGGCTCCTGCTTGTGCAGATGAAGCCCAGGGGCCCAAACGCCGTCACAGGGAGGGCAAAGGAGGAGCCAGCCCCACTGCCTGCAGGGTGTGAGTCCTGYCCGTCCTGCTGTCCCTTCCTGTTCCACTGTCCCTTGCCCATCCCACTATCTCCATCATCCCACTCTCCCTGCCCGTCCCACTATCTCCATTATCCCGCTGTCCCCCTCCMCGCCGCTGTCCTTGCCCGTCCCGGCGCAGGGCGCCCCGTCTCCCAGGCCCTGCCCGCCGCCGGCACCCACAGAGCGCGTTTGCTGCCTTGGCAGYGCCTCCACAAAAGCCGCATTGAGCCATTATTCCCCGCGCCGGCTGCGAGCACTAAAAGTGGCGCCTCGCGTCCTGCCATCTAATGACCCTTCGCAGGCTCCTACAGATGTTTTCTATGACTTGCAGCTCCTTTTCCAGCAGCCCTGTCCGCAAAAACAAGAGGGGCCACTTTAATTCCAATTAAATACCTCCAGCTAAGCAAACAGAGAGCAGCGGGGCCTGGGCACGGCGCGGCCGCCAGGCCCGGCCCACCGAGCCGCTGAGTCTAGACTCCAGATGTGGTTCCAGCAGCCGCTGGTGTCCCGGGGAAGGTGGCGCTGGGCACAGCGCAGGCACCGGGCACGGCCGGGATGCGGCAGCCCCGTGTCCTGTGTGTCCCATGGGCACTTGGATGTGTCCCCTTGTCCAGGGCTCTTCCCAGCACACGGCTCAAGTTGGTGCCCATCTTGGGAATGGGACTGGGATGCTCTCCTGGGACAGAGACCTCTCTTTGTGGAGCAGAGGGGATGCCAGGGGGTCCCTGAATGTCCCCAGTGCTGCAGTGAGTGGCAGCCGGGACCTCTCTGGGCGCAGGGAAGCTCCTTCATCACCCGCTGCGTTCTGGAGCCCCTGGGCACTCGGCTGGGGTCCTGCCAGCGCCCGCTCCGCTCCTCCCCTTGAGTGTCCCGCTCCTGCAGCGTTGCTGCACACTGCGCTCAGC